AGCCTTGACTACATTTTCCTGATAAAACAGAAACCAGACCCAGATCTCTTTATGTGGCTTAATAGATGCATAGCAAGATAAATATTTAATTACCAATTTGACACTGTTTATCAGTTACGAGCAATACACTGTCTCTACTGCACAGCTCCAATTAGCTCTGCAAAACAGAGAACAGGAAGAAAATAAAAAGGAATTTACAGATACTGGCTCACCAGTCTCATGGATCCTGTGCAGCTTGTTGTATTGCTGTTTATTGATTAGTCTTATAATGCCTTTGTATCTAATTAAAAATTCAGGACGGGCTCTGTGAGTAAGCAATAGACAATGTCTGGTCTAAAAAAGGAACTACCCAGTCACAGAAATGAACTGGGAATACCAGAAGCTCCATCTGTCCTGAATAATTATACGTTCACAAACTGTTTTGCATAGTACAGTGTTTTGTACATTCAAAAATACTGGAATAGTAAGTAGAAATGCAGTTTGTCTAGTAATTTTATTAAATTCATAGAAATTTATTGATAGAAAGGATTTCAAGATATAAGCTAGTCCTTTCCTCGTGGTCTGAGGTATGATTTCATAAACCCTCTGATTTTAGGGTTTCTACAATCTCCCTAAATAGTATGGGTCAGGGCTGATTATCGTTATGGTTTATAAACAGTGTGTTTGTTTTACTCCTTTGATCACCAATTAGATTTTCCTCCAGACTAGTTCCGTGCTTCCAAACGTTTCCATAGGTCGTGTTTTCTAAACCGTTTACTTATTACACTTTCCTGCATTCCTGTTTTTCTTAAAATTTTAGACTTAGAAGTGAACTTTTTTTTTTTAATCAAGCAGAATGCAGCAACTATTTGGTATCAGTTTTTCACAGAGTAGAACAGGGAATATTTCTCGCAAGTTTACACACGACACTCTGGGTAATGCATCCCAGAAAAGGTGTTTATTTGCGACAGAATCACGTTCTCCATCCAAATTTCAGAAGTTGGTGAATTTTTATTCTCTAGACTTTTCCCTGATTTCATCCCTTTTTTATTGGAAAATTTCACTAGCATTCAGTGGATGGTGCCTTACACTGTGAGCAAGAAGGTCGCACAAGAGAAACTGTAGTTTCTTAATAAGTGGCTGAGACATGCACTGTTTGAGCAGTGGTTGTGGACGTACTTCAGTAATACAATAAATCTGAAACCCATCTCAGTTTATAAGCGTGTGAGGTCAACTGTAGTAGTTCACCTAACTCGGATGGTATTGTTTTAACATGCACTTTATTGCAAATAATCTGAACCAAATCACTGCTGTTTACACAGCATAGGTTGTAGTGAGAAAAAAAAAATATATACAGGTAATATATTACTAAATGTACAGACTATTTAGTCATTTTAATGAAACGTTCATAGTGCAGAAGGTTGAGATTTAACTTTTCTTAACAGTACCTGCTATTAATGGACAGTGGATTCCATTCGCTAAGCCATTTCTTATTGCTTGGTCTGTGACTTTCGAAGAAAGTCGAGTCATATGTGAATGTTCAGTTTGGAGAGAAACAAGCTGACAATTCAGGATGACTCGCTTCAGATAAGAGATACAGATAGGATGGTTTGTAATGTTCCAGTTGCTTTTTTCTGCTGTTATCGGGATTTGCTAACTGATCAGGGACAGAATTCCAATATCTGGCCCTTTCAGTTAATCTTATATTTCTGCAGCACACGTAAA